AAAAAAATATATATATATATAAATAGGTTTAAGGTTTAAATTTTAAAAAATTTAATATAATTAATAATTTTGTATTGATTTAGAAAAAAAAATATAAGTAAACAAAATTAATTACAATTTGAAAATATTTGAAAATAGAGTAAAGGATAAAAAATAATTTAAATAAAATATTTTTTATAGTTTAATTTTGTAAAGAAAATGGTAGTAAAGTTAAATACTAAAATATCAAAAAATGCTTTGAAATAAATATTCTTATTAAGTAAACCTCCTTTTAAGCTTAATAAAAATTATTCATCAGATCTTTACAGTTCTAATGATAGTAAAATATCTAAAGTTAGTTAACTTTCATTTACTTTTAAAAAAAAAATTAAACAACTTTTATTAAGACCAAAAAGAGGTTTTTCTTAATAACAATACCTCTTCCGGAGGACTTTTTTAAATTTTAGGGAGTGGCATTAGCACAAATGGGGGGTAGAAATAACATTTCCCTTAATATATATGGGTGATTATTTTGGAATTCAGACCAAAATGTTGCGTCATATACATAAAATTGGTCCGGGTTCAAAAATAAATTTTACAAGCGTTTAAGTCGTTCGGATTCGTCAACTATTGATATTTCACAATTCAAGATTGGAATGTTAATATTTTTTTTTTTTTAATGAAATATGGCTAAAAATGTGACACGAATTATTACAAAATTTAGATTTAGCCGCAATTAAACATTTACAGAAATTATTCCCTTAAAAGTGGCAATATTATAAACCTTAATATACTAGATGAATAAGGAATCTAATTTATTTCTATCATTGGTGAAAATCTGAAAATGCAATTTAACCTTTCACTGGAAAAAAAACCTAGTATTATTATCGTATTTATGAATCTTCTTCAAGTCAACTGGGAAATATTTAAAAGACACAGATTCATGTGTGTAAATTTTTTTTTTTGACAATGGAAGTCTTGATAAAATTTTAAAAGATTGGAACATATAACACAAATAGCGAAAACCTAAGGACTCACTATAAATATCAATGAGCAGTAATCTCCTCACTATTTTTATTCACCACCCATCAACCAAGCTTTTTTCTTCATTTCTTTCCTTTCTTTCTTTTTTTGTTTAAATAATTCAATATCCTTTCTATTCAATTTTTTGTTACTCTTTGTTTCCGATGAGCTCATCTCACCTTTGCTCCTCTTTGATCTTTGTTCAGCAAAACTCTCATAATCAAAGAAATAAGACATTTGTCGGATTGCTTTCGCATCAGACGAAAATTTCTCCGGCGTCAAGGTCGGGTCACGCTGAAATTTACCCGTTCGCGTATTGAATCTAGCAGATATGGTGTAATCTGCACCTTCATTTCCATGCTGAGCGAGAAAAGAATTATAATCTGAATCTTCTACAGCTTGAGAGTATTGATAATAAGCACTCGTGTCCGAAGTTGAAGATTCTTTTTCTTGTTCTTGGGATTGCTCATTGGGTTCATTGTGTTG